ATTATTATTATTATTATTATTATTATTATTATTATTATTATTATTATAAATAGGTACTACTATTTATACAGATAACAGCATTCTGTGCAACTTGGTGTATAGTCATGCTGGCCACATGATCACTGCAGTGTCTTTGGACAATGCTGGCTCCCTTGGCCAAGAAACAAAGATGAGTACTGCTCCCTAGAATCCAACACGACTGGATGGGGGAAATCTTTACTATTATGAAACATCAAGTACATCACTAAGGATGAGCATTCATTTGGGGGAAGGGGAATCTCAGAAATGTTAAGTAGAATTGGAAAAAGATATGGAGTTTACAGATGTAGTTCAGAGACAGAACACAAGTGTGAGAGAACAGTAAAGCAACTAGCTCTTTTTTTAAAGCAAATATTTGAACATAGTTGAAAGTAGGGTAAAAGCAAGTCTGGAACAAAGGCAAAGTAAAAGTACAGTATGTGAAAAAACACAGAGCAAGAGAATATCAATTGCCTGTATGTCTGTATATCTAACTATCTATCTATCTATCGATCGATCACATTTTTGGAAACACTCATCTCCTTCATAGAGGAAATTAGTTAAAAAAAAATAACTGGAAAAACTTTAGGTGAACTTGTTTCAGTATTGGAAATGGAAGAAAAAAAGGCAATGTGCCCAGATGCACAAACAAGTGACCTCACTGAAAATATACGATGAAAATACATTAACAAAAATTTATACTGGAACAATGAATTTGTCTGCTCTTCTTTTTGCCAGCAATTGTAAAGTAAAATATGAGAGAATCTTAGATTGCAAAAAAGGAATAGAAAATAGAAAGTTCTAGAAAGACAAAAATGAATTTTTAGTCCTTTGTTAAATAGAATATCAAAATGGAAATAAGTACCATTATAGTAAAAAATTGAGAGAATTTTAATATTTATCCCTATGTGTTCAGCACAGTAAATGAACAGTAGAAACCATTCAAGAATATAGAAAAGTCTAGAATAGGTTGCAAGTTTTTTGCATTTTTTATTTTAAAAAAGTTCAAATTATGTTCATTACCTTAATGTTAACAACATTAAAGGAAGTAGAAAACAGGAGAAGTTGTGACATACTAACAAAAACATTGAACTATGAATTCTCTTTTAAAATCAATTGCAACCATAAAACCTAACATAAAAAATACAAGAATAAGGTGCAAAAACAAAAAGAACAAAAAATAGAAAAGAAAAATAAACATGTAGTTTAAAAAAAAGTGACTTTCCTCCATCACAATAAGTATAAATAATTTTAGTAATTTGTCACCTTCTTTTGAAATACAGCAAATGATCTCTTATCTATAAACAAATAGTTAAAGCCTCATCAGTTCAATAATGATGTCAGCAAAAAACCATTAATTGTTTATAGAGATAATAACAAATATATTTTAATTATACTAATATATACTAATACATTACAGTATTCCTTTAGAAATAATTTCCTAAACATGTAATCAGCACTGCCAAAACGGACAGCACCAATTCAGCATTGTGAACATATCCATTTAAACCTATATAGCACCTGAGTTAAGGTATTTAGTCACAAAGAATTTTGTTGGATACAGATACTTCAATCTACAACAAAAATATGTATATATAAAATTAAGAATGTCTACTGACTCAATGGCTTAGGCATTCTTAATTGATAGTTATTTCCTAAATGTTTATCTTGTTATGACATTTACCGAGTGGCCAGATTCTACTTTATAAAGGTTTGCCTTTTATAACTAAACAGGTTAAGCTTTCCTTATCATCTAAGAGATTTTACAATCCTTGAATCCTGTTGGGTAAAACCAAATTAAGCATGATAATCAGATTTTAAGACTATTTACCAAGATACATTTCAATTATTGATGCTTCTCTTGGATGTGCTTGAACTGAGAAGTTGTTTGATAACTTTTGCTTTTTAAATTTTGTGAAATGTTCTGGGGGCCGTGATCTCGCAAAAGTGGTTGGGTGCCTGAAGTCACATGAGATCACGGCCCCCAGAACATTTCATTCTCAGTGCAAAAGGCATTTTCAAGCTGACTGGATGCTGAAAGAAAAATTGTCCTGCTCTCCTTTGTCTCAGGCAAAGAAACCCTGGCAGAGATATATCTTTGTAAGGTAAGTACATCTGGCATGGCAGGGTGGGAGAGGGAAGCAGTCATGGGAAGCAGGGGAGGAGAAATAGGGTGAACTGATGCAGTGCCTCTGTGGTTGTTTGTAAGGGTGAACAGCTGCCATGGTGCTGCAACATTTTTAATTTCGGGACTTTATCATAAACACGGGGGGGGGCTTATCATGTAACTTCAAATGGTCACTAAGTGAACTATTGTAACTCAAGGATTACCTGTACTGAATCTTTGGTTCTTGTAAGTGAACCTCTGATAGGTAAATATCATCCTGAAAAAAAATGGGGTCTAAGAAGATATAGTAATATAAAAAATGATTCAAGTAACAAGGAATGAGAACTGGAGAATGTGGTTGGCTGAATGACATTAAGCAATATGAGGAAGTACACTTGGAGTCTTCAAATATAGGGAATGTGATACATATAATGTGGGGGCAGAGCCAGAATTTAGTAATAATATGGAAATGGTATCCATTATAGAAGTAGAATATACTGCAAACATGGTTCTGGTATTTTAGTCCAGGGGTCTCCAACCTTGGCAATTTTAAGGCTTGTGGACTTCAACTCCCAGAGTTCCTTAGACAGCTTTGCTGGCTGAGGGACTCTGGGAGTTGAAGTCCACAAGCCTTAAAGTTGCCAAGGTTGGGGACCCCTGTTTTAGTCCACTCATGATCTTAGAATAGCAGTAAAAACCTACAGCACTAAATAGTGTAGGTGTGGAATGCATACCATGAGACAAGATTCCTAGTGCTATTAGTTAAGAACAATGTATACTATCTATCTCTCTTTCTTAATTAATTTGGATTTTTTTTCCATACATGGAAATGTAAGTTGAAAAGATAAGGGGGAAAGTTGAAAAATACAGATCACAAAAGGAAAACAGTATGTGGATGTCTTAAAAATTCTGTGAATAAGGCTTAACAGGTAAGCAATCTAATATGTTTACCTCGTATTCTAGAGAGTTAGGCACACTTACCAAGTATGCAATAAATGGTCTTAATAGTAACATAATAATTGCTTCAGAGTAAAAGAGACTAAATATAACTGAATTGTTAGAGGAAAAACAAACCCCTTAAAAGAAAAATTTTAAAGATGTATTTTAGCATAAACTTATGTTGACTAATTGTCACTTCACCATCAAATGCATGAAGTGGTTCTAGACCACAAAATGCATATAAACTAGAGAAAAGTATGTGCCAAATAGAAGAAAGCTGTTATGTTAGCTCTTCAATATTAACTGAATTCATACATTATACTAAACCATATAATCATATTTTCACTGCAGATTCTTAAACAAATCAAAGTTCATGGCTAGGATTACCAGACATCTGGCAAAAGGAGATGCTCTTTTTGACCACGTTTCCCATCTGGCAGTCATAAGCTTAAAATCAAATATTGTCCAGCTTTATGAATGTCTTGGGGGTTTAGAATTATTTTTACATTCAAACTTAACTGTCTGCTTCTTTCTTTCCTTCGTCTATCAACAGGTTCAATAGCTTAGATATGTGATATTTATCTCCAGAAACCAGCACCAGCCCCTTCAAATCTATTATCACTATAGTATGTAGATCACATGACTCATCATCATTTCTATAGTGAAATTTGAAAAATGAGCCATCAGCAATTATATTATCTCTAGCATATGTTCTTGAAAATAAAGATTTGTTGGATAAATAGTGTGATGGAAAAATCAGTGTTATTGATGTTGGAAAAAGTAATTTCATATATACAAATAAATTCATTTTTGCAGGGCTTTTTTGCTATACTTTTCACAGGTGACCAGAAAGTTAAACAGAATAGCCTTCTTTTCTCATTCGTTCTCCTTGCCAATTGTCCATGTCCTCCTTTGTTTGTTCGTATATCTGATAGCCCTACACAGAGCAGTAAACCAAAACTGAACTTTACTTCCTGTTTAGAGCACCGTGTCAAACTCATCTCTCATTGGGCACAGCTGAAAATGGAAATGTGAGGAAGATGCTATGGCAGCAGACATTGGGAGCTACTACATAAACAATGTGGCATACTTTGTGAATGGTACAAGCTGCATCTCTTTATGCATTTATATAGTCTGTACGGTACTGCGTACATGTTTATTATTTATAAAATAAATGATAAAGTCACACACAGAAATATGCAACAGTTAAATTTCCCACAGGCAAGCCCCCCTGGATGAAGCAAAGGATCTAATTGATTTAGGTACAATCCTGCTGACTTCTAAAAGTGTTGACAACTTACCCCTGGGTAGACCTACAAAGGATTGCGCTGCAGATAGGAGCAAATTGACAAGGCCGAAACTTCTGTGCCCAAATATACTAAAAATGTGATTAAATTCATATTTACAATGCCTTATTTTTAATCAAGGAGGCATAGCCTGCCATGAAAGGGTCAGGGTTAGGGTTAGGATTTTGGATCGGCTGTTAAGGCTTAGACCAGTTTTAGATAAAACTCAAGAGAGTCTCTCTCTCTCTCTCCCTCCCTCTCGAGAGGGTCCGCGCGATCACCCTCCGAGGAATCTGGGGACGGGCAAGGCGGCTGCCAAGAGGCCACGTTAGGCGAAGCCTGAGGGAGGCTACTCACTGTGCGGGTCGCTCTTCTCTCGGACTCCGTCCACTCGGCCGTCAGGGTTAATCCTCAGAAAGAAGCCTCCGTTTTTGCAGTAGAGCCGTTTGGGATCCTTAAAGTGTCCAGGCGGGAAGGGGCCACCGCTACCGCCACCGCCGCCGTCGTCGGGAAAGGTGGTGATGCTCCCCGCAGCCGCCATCCCGGCCGGGCCCGGCGCCCCAGCCGAGGTCTCCCCTCTGGACGCCCTTCCGCCAGTTCTCCCCGCGACTCGACGGCTCCCTCTGCCAGGGCTCCCTCTGCCGCGGCCCCCCAGTATCGCCTCTCGACGGCTGCCCCGCGGAGCGCCTGCCTGAAAGGGAGCGCTCCCTCGCACGGGAGGAAAGGCGGCCGGGGGCAGGAGAATGGGGCGTCCGCTTTGCCCCGAGTCGGGCCCCCGCTTTTCTTCTTCTTCCCAAGCTTTTCAACGTCGACCCGCAGCTCCAAGCTGGACGCCCAGTCAGTCCTTTTAGCCAGGCGGTCGACAGAGCCCGGCCGGCTAAAGGCTTCGCCGCCTGCTGTCGTCGCCCACTGCAAGAAGCCAAGGAGGGAGTCGCTACCGCCTGTGGCTGCCTCGGGAGGCCCGCTCAGTCCGCGCTATTATTTACTTGTTTGTTGCCCCCGGCCGCCCCCGGTCCCACCTCCTTCCTGCTCTCCTCCCCACACACACACACACACACACACACCTTCCCCTCGGTGCTTCCCTGCGCTGGCTCTCTGCCCGTCCCCGGTTCGAGGGAATCGCTTGCCCTGGCTCCGCTGCTGGAAACTGGCAAGGATGGAGAAGCGAAGAGGTTCGTTTCTTCCCGCCTCCTTCGCACGCATCCCTTCGCGTAAACCCTACCCGTTCCAGCGCTCGCTCCGCTCCGGGGCCCTTTTTGGGCCGCCTGTACAAATCCCGAATTTGGCAGTTGTTCCTGCGCGATAGGTCACCACTGCTGCCCCACCATTAAGACGGGCCTCAGGCTAATCTAGAGGCCCCGGGACGACCGGCCATCTCTCAAGGGGTAATTCGCGGTTCTTTCGCGACAACCGATGGGAACGTTTCCAGGGGGCAACGCTTCCTCCTCCTGCCTAATGATACCCAAACCAAAGCTGTTTTGAAAGCTCGAGGTGGTTGTGTAGCGCTAAGGGATCAGAGGTGCCCATTTCCCTAAGAGAGGTTTTAGGGCTTTGTTTACTTATTTATTTTTATGGGGAGGCGATGGAGGCAGTTGTTGTGATCCCATACATGGAGAAGCGTTTATACCGCGTGGTACAGTATTTGTAATCATTAGTTGGATCAATACTTTCTATTCAAGAGAATAAAACTTATAACCCCAACTGTTAATTGCTGCGAAAAAGACAGCAAAACCTTTTGAATGTTCGGTTTTTCTGCATACATGTGACTAAAACTATCTCTTTTCCACAGGTCCCTAAAACTAGACAAAGAAAACCCAATTAAACAAATGAGTAAAAAATATCACACTTATTTGATTTATTGAGGAAAATTAACCAAACGAACATTTTCTATGGCAAAAGTATGTGAACTTAAAGGATTATGAATTCATTTGAAAGGGAAATTTGAATCAGGTATTTCAGTCCATGAGAGAATAATCAGGTGACAGACCCTGTTTAAAGAACAGGATTCAAGGCTTTCACTATCAAGCATCTTATCTTCACAACACAGGTATATGGAATTGTGTCATGACTCAAACAAAGGAGTCCGAGGACTTCCCAAAAACTATAATTGATGCTCACCAGACTGGAAAGGTTACCTGTAACCTCGCTACACAGCAAAGCTCTAGATTTCAGTATGCCTTAAGTAAAGCTTGGCAACAGAATAAGTGTTTGGCCAATGTGAAGGATGAAGGAATGACCATGGAATTTTACTTGTTGGGAAATTTTCAGAAGAACTATTCTGGTCAGTTGGAAAGTTAAGTCCCATAAAGATTTGGGAAGAGAGGAGGCCTTAAGAAATCACTATGATCCTAGTTCAGTGAATTTCTACATTGGCCATTCCTACACTAACCATAAGTAAAATAAACATAGACTTAGGGCAGCAAGGTTAGGGGATGCCATAGAGTTTTTCCCCATCATGCCATAACTCTTTCATTACCACACCTGTCTTCAGGGTTTGTTTGGCTTTTTGCCTTTATTTGCTATATTTGACTTTAGTGTGCACTGTTGAAATTTTTTATTGGAAAATTTTTGTGAGTAATTATCATTTAAAAGATAGGTTTGAAGTTGTTATCAAATATTACATTTACTTTCCTCTTCATGAAGTGAGAGTCTCATTTTCCCAGGGGCACCACAATGGCCTGTGGTTGGGGCATCAGTTGGCTTCAATCCACCTATAATCTGGGCACTATATATGTTTATAGCTAAGAATATGAATGGCTTGGTTACCATATGACACTAAAGAAGAATCAACCACAGAACAAAAAAACATTACCTCTTTTCACCATAGAGCATGATGCTTGGAATCCCATAAGATTTTGTCCTCTTTTTAAATTAATGATGTATGAGTGCAGTATTCTAGAAACTATTTGAAGTATGCCTCATTGAATACTATTAATTTACACAAAGCAAAACCTAGTTGCATTTTTGTAAGCGCCTTGTGCTTCAACTATTTCAGTGAGATTAAGTTACATTCTTTCTATAACTGTACCCATATTACAAAACAATCTGGCAACTGAAATGTGCCAGAATTCGTTTCTGTTGGATGATAGAGTAGGGTGATCTGCTTATGATACTATTTATATTTCAGATGTATGCAGGTGATCATTGTGGACCTGTTGTGGACCATTGTGGACCCACAATTCCTGTTACTAAGTGAAACATTTGTTAAGTAAGTTTTGCTCCATTTTACAACCTTTTGTAGGAGATGACCAGTCTGAGCCCGAGGGAGGGGTCAAATGTATCATATGTCATGAGTCCTTGCATGCCCACAAGAAATTTAGGTCCAGCCCACCTTGAATTCCTTTTTAACTCCTGCACATTTCCTTTGACCATTAGCAGTTCAGATTCTTGTAGAGAGCTTAAGCTTGCAGTAAATCTTTACACTCATCTGAATTGCCTGAATCTCCTGATTCTCCCTGTACTTTCCACCTATCTTGCCACCATTGTTAATTGAATCACTGCAGTTGTTAAGTTAGTAACTGTTAAGTGAATCTGGCTTGATTTTGCTGGCCAGGAGGTGGCAAAAGGGGATCACATGATCCTGGGATGCTGCAACCATCATAAATATGAGTTAGTTGCCAGACGTCTGAATTTTGACCGGGTGACCATGAGGGGCTGCAATGGTCGTGTGAAAAATGTCACTTTTTTCAGTGCCGTTCTAACTTTGAACAGTCACTAAATGAACTGTTGTAAGTCAAAGACTACCTGAATACAAAAGTCAATAGTCAAACATATACAGGAATTCATTATTGGTAACTTTCTAAAGAAACTGGAAACATTGACACCAGTACAGAAAGGCTTCTTTTAAAATCACAGTGCAGTAATAGACTCATTTGTCTTAATCGTCCCATCCTGAATGTGATTCTGCCAAAATTCACACCTTGTCTCATTCATTCAACTTAGACTCACCTTTCAATGATGAGGAGCCTGCTGGGCAATCACAGGTGCTGTGCCAATTTCACGCTGAGCAAAAATGATTGAATCAACTCCCTAAGTGCTAAACAAATAACGAATTTGGCTTATGTTCCTATGAAATGGACAGGAATCAGATGTGCAATCATGTTTATTTGCAAGATATTAACTCTCTGCTGGAACACAACTGGAATGATTAGGTAATGTTATGATCCTGGAACAATGGAGTCTCCTGTTGATTAGGTCAAACCCAAGATTATAAAAAACTAAATGTGTCTAAAACTCAAGATAATTATTATATGGCTTGACTTGAATGTAAATAATTAAGAGATGGATTGAATGATGTACATATGGAAACCAAATAATTTTTTTCATCTGAAAAAAGTTACTAACTGAAAATACTATGTATTTGTGTCCTTTAAAGCAGAAAATGTTCTTTCTGAAAACATCATTTTTGGAAATGAAACATTTTCCTACAGACAACACACACTGACGTTGTGATGTAGACTTGAAGATGTTATGAATTAGTTTATGCTATAAAAATAAACTGCAAGTTTTATAAACAAAATAGACATTAGGGCACTCAGGGATGCAATAAGAATGCTACAATAAAGTTCTTATTATTTTGCCAAGGACTATTAATTATACGTAGTTTTACATGGGAAAATACAATAGCAAGAAACATTATTTATGATTTTGTAGATAAAAATATATAAGCAAAATTGGACTGAAAGTAATTTCTTATCAGTTTGGGGACTACAAAACAGTGTGTGTTATAAAAGTTATGATGTAAATCTGGCAAAAATATAGTGTAACCCTGAAAACATGTGGAGTTGCAACATTGACTGGATGTTATAGCATATGATTTCCAAAGGCAACTTGTGTGTCATCACCCTGTATTATAAAATATCACATCTGTAACTGGGCAGCTGCTCACCAGATCAGGACATCTGGGTTTTTTTCTGACTTTATTCTTAAATTTGGTTTTTCTTTCTCAGTCAAGTGACCCCAATGGGTCATAAGTTCAAAGAATTCTGCATTTTAAGTATTGCACATTTCTAATTAATCAGAAATTTACATGACTTTTTAAAAAAATCACGGCATTACAAGAACATTCTAAGCAATGTAGAGATGCAATATGATCATTGCAGACTTTAGTGGTGATCAAATCTCTGGCAAATTTATTATCGTATGATGATAATATAATGATCATACTTTTTCTCTTTTTAAATGATGCCTAAGTGCCTAAAACTTTCTTAGCTGAAAAAAAAACCACATAGTTAATGAATAACAATTTTTAACAGTTGAATTAACAAAGGGCTGAACTCACAACATTTCCTAAAGTGAAATATTAATCAACGCTATGTTTAAATAACACATCACATGAAGGGAATGTTCTCCATTCTTGATAGTTTTCTTCTCCCCAAAGAACAGAGACATAAACATTCACTGCTTTCTACTTTGCTTTCACTTCACTCTACAACTATTGCAGTAAATTCACAGCATGAGGCCCAACAAGGGATTCTAAGTGCTTAGTACTTAAGTCATGTTGCAAGAGACTTGCAAAGCAAGAGCCACTGAGTACATCTCAACAAACAAAACAGTACATAATTACAGCTTATTGTACCATTTATTTCCCTTAAATCTTTCTAACAACGCATACAATGAATTTTTATTGCCCTGGATGAACAAAAGAAAAAAGCAAAGCTTTCTGTGAAAAACTTCTTATCATTTGGTTAATACTTATTAATGTTAATACTTATTTTTAAAGTTTTTTGTGTGTTTAATTTTCAGTGTTCCATATGTTTATCCACAGTACCTTGTTTTCCCATTAACGTGGTGTTTTGAATTACCCTACAGACAAGTGTGAAGGATGTTTGTTTGTGTTTATTTTCATGGTCATGATGTGCACTGAAGATGGGTTTGATTTTGTTGTATGAGGTGCAATGACAATAAAGTAAAGTAAACTAAACTAGTATTGCCTCATTATGCAAAAATTTTAAGATCACTATCACTTCTGTTATGTCCTTATGCAAATGATATAAATCACAACAAATGTAATAGAATTAAAATAATATTAGCATACACTTAATTCTCTCATTCAACTGTAAGTAATTATGATTACTTAAACACAATAGATTTGCAACTATCCAGACAGAAATTTGGTCTATTGTTTTCTAAGTTTCTAAATGAGATCCCATTTAAATTGAAGGTTCACTGTATCTAGTCTTCATATAGGTTTCTGCTTTGTCTTTGCACAACCACCACTTTTGTTATATCCTAGCTTCTACAGCCCCTGCAGTTACACCAACCCAGGTTCCCACTGACTGGACAATCCTTCAGATTGCCATCATAGAGATAGTCTACTCTAGCTGCTAGAATTTTCCAGTTTTGTAAAAAGGTGAAATAATGATAACAGTGAAACAATGGGACTAACTTCCCCTACCCTTTCCTTGTCTCTCTTGAATATAATACTGGAAATCAGCATTTTTTTGATCATATAAGAAAGTAGGTGAGAGACTCTTAATTGAAAGTCTTCTCCCCCAAGATCCACTACTAGAGACTCCATTTGTGATACCTCTTTGTACCCCACCTGATGATGAAGATACGAAAACCATTTGTTTTGCAACAGTGATTCAGAAGCAATACACTACAGGAAGATAGGAATTGACAATGGAACAAGAAATTTCATGCAAGCATTGTTTTCTGCTGATTCTAGATTGGGTGCATAGGACTTTAACTCAGTTGTGGGGGAAAATATCCCACAGCACTAACTTCCAGTTATTGAAGCATAAACAATAGCTGAGAACAGATTTTTTGCTGGAGAAAATCTGGACACCCTTTTAAACAGACATGCATTCATTTTTCTTGTGCATTTAAGAACTGCATATTCTTCCTCCCATCTCTGAATTTCACATAATATAAATGCATATAATACATTCTTGAAACATCAATATTTCTCCTCAGTGTTGGAACTCTATGTCTAATGACCAGGATATTCTTTGAACCCAAGTTTATTAACGGACAAGAATTGGACTGAAGAAAAAGAATGGAGATGGAAACAAATTTTGATTTAAATTTAAATTAGATTTAATTACCAGTAAGTTTGCTCACCAGTTAATGATTAAAAATTAAAATTATTTATACATATTGTAGAAAAGCAGAGGGATACTCCTCAGATTTTGAGGAAGATACTTACCTTGGAATCTAAAGTTAACGAAGCTGAAAATATTCTCGGTCAACAGCTATGAAATCGAACAGTTAGCAGTTTGTATTTGATTTGGCTATCTAATTGGCTGTTCCAAAACCCTTTGAGGATGGCTTTCTTAAAACACTGAAAATGTTAGTAATAATTATAAATAAAATAATTAATATAACTTTAATAATAATTAACCTAATCACTGATTTTATTGATTAGTTCAAGTTGGTCCTCAGACTAAAAAAATATTTTCTCACCTCACTGTATTTTTCTTATTCATTTATTCCAGTTAATAGACAGGTCTCTTATTCCCTACTTTATTACGTATGTGTAGGGTGTGAAAGAATCCAGGGAGAAAAATTAGTCATTTGTACTACTTGGGTGGGTTTCTGTTTGTTAAGGAGTCACTACCCAACAGCAATCTGGCTCACTCTTGTTTTATAGAGCACTTCCATTCCAGTAATATGAAGTTAATCCTTTAACCAGCAATACAATTCTACTGAGT